GCAGCTCAGCCAGGGGTGCCCTGAGCCTGACGGGTTTGGGCCCAAGACAGGACCCAGGATGTGGTGGGCTGAGGGGGGGTCCGAAGGTCAGGAACTGGGAGGTCTCCTGGTGCTGCCCAGTCCCCTTGGGAGCAGGGGATGTTTGGGGCCCCCCAGTGGTGCCAGTGCCCCCCACACCCAGCGCTGGGTCAGTGGGGGTCTCAGCTCTATCACTGGCTGGTGCTGGGGGGATTCAGGAGACCATGGGGCTGGACGGCGCATTGACAGATCCCCTGCCCCCCAGCCACAATGGAGCCCCCCCAGCCATGGGGGAGACAGACCCCCAGCCTAGCCCCAGTCCGGGCCCCCACAGTGCCTGGGCCTAGAGAGGAGCAGCACTGACCAGGAGAGAGAGGGGACCCAGTACAAAGACACCATCGCCCAAGGGTCCCCTGAACGCTGCTGGCAGCCCATGGCCTGGCCACCCCACACCCAGCCCTGGCTCCCCCTGCACCTCGCCCCAGCCTCAGCCGTGCCTCTCCCCCAGGTAGGGCATTTTCTGGTGCCTGACTCACTTAACCGCACAGCCACAGATGCCGAGGCAGTGAGGTTGGTGATGGGATTGTGAGCCTGGCACGTGTACGTGCCCTGGTGATCCTGAGTAATGGAGTTAAAGGTCAAGCTGCTCCCGGTCTCTTTAGTGTCGGTGCCGTCGAGAACCCAGCGATAGCTCGGGGCTGGGACGGAGTCGGCGACGCACGTCAGGGTCAGAGGGGACCCGAGGGTAATGGATCCCGACTGGTCTATCTTGGCTGAGTCCGGCCCATCTACACAGAGAGGGAAGGGATCAGGCGGGGGGGGGCAGTGCCAGCGAGGGATCCCTGTGTAACCAGCTCCAGCCCTCTGCCCCAAGGGGGTCGTAACTCAGCACAGTGCGAAGAGTCCCCATATAAACAACCCCTGTATCCTGCCCAAGAGGAACCACACCTCAACACCAGGTGAGGGGGCCCCGTATAATCCACCCCTGTTTCCCACCCCAGAGGCAGCTGCATCTCTGTGGCTGGGTGATGCCGGCAGGACCAGGGGCAGCGCGGCCGGGGGACGGGGCTGCAGTTACTCACAGGCCACCGTCACGGTGCTGGGCTCGCTGCGGTTGGTGCTGACGGGGTTCCTGACCTCGCACTGGTAGGTGCCGGCGTCGCCCCGGGTGACACCCAGCACTGTGAGGGTCCGGTTGTCAGGGGACAGGACCACCCGCTCACTGGGCGCGAAGGACGACCCATCCCGGAGCCAGAGCACGGTCTCGGCGCTGGGGGAGCTGTTACACGTGAGGGTGAAGGTCCCGTTCTCCAGCACCAGGGTTTGGTTTGGCGTCACCGTGGGCTTGGGCAGGATTTCTGGGAACAGAGAGAGCGTTACCGTGTGTCCCTACTCCTCCATCTGCCCACGACAGGGGCTGCTGCCCCGCGGGATTGTGGGAAGGGTCCTGGCACCACCATCCCGCTGCATTGTGGGAAGGTCCCAGCATCGCTGTCCTGCGGTGTCGTGGGAAGGGTCCTTTGCCCTTTGCCCCTCAGAGCTGCGGACACGGGCAGTCACCTTCTGGGGTCTGCCAGAGGGTCCCTCTCCCCAGCGTCAAGTCTCACAGTTATTGGTTCCTCCCTGAGGCTCTGGCTCCCGGAGCCCCGTGATTTTTGGGAGACTCTCGGCTCTGGTTCGAAGGGAGAGCGACGCTCCGGCTCCCAGGTCTGTCCCAGGA